TCTGTATCCATCAAATCATACTACAGAATCAAACCCAGTATTCACAACGTTCCGCTCTGTCAACTATATTGTCCGTCGTCCACGAGCCATGGCTATAAATAACATAAAATTGAATACATGTACTTATATCAAAACCTATTAATAATGTTCAAAAGTTACATTTAGTACATTTATTCAGCGAGTATCCTGTAAAATCTGAAGCAAGTCTGTGTGCCGTAATTATCCCTTAAAATTGGATTCTGATATGAAATTAACTTTTACAGTAATAAAGAATATGATAGTAAATTATATTTAATTCCTGTAATGATAGTCCTCACTCTCACAGTGGAAATTCAATTAAAAATTTAAAGTCGCTCCAGCAAAATATTAGAATAACATTTTAGTATGGACAAGGTACATACTGTACACATCCTAATCAAAATGTTCTTGTCGAAAACTTATAGTTCTTTCGTGGTGTAATATAAATTATAAATAGGCAATAAGCAGCAAGCAATTGGGTTTGTGAGCTGTGATTATTACTGAGAATTCAATTCTTAGATCAAGTTGAATATCAGTGTTATAGCAAATATAATAATAACATTTAATATTTATATTAACAGCTCATACACGGGAAACCTCTACGACTTTCAAACAGGAAAATTGCTTTAAGATGTCAAGGCATTAGACAGCGTTCGTAATAGCTTGATATAATGAAGATGATATAGTATGTAATGATAGAAATATAGAAGATTATATTATAATTATAGTTCAGTCTATTTACTGCTATTGTTATATAGTAGAATTATAAATAATTACCGTCTGAGAGGGAGATTTATTGTCTGTGATTTTAAAAAAAAGAAAATTAGGACCCAGCACTCACATGACCTGTCTTATTCTCGGAAGATTAATCTAAGATTTTAATAATTGACCATTCAGATGTCTGGAACACAATATTTTTTACCGCCAGTCAGATTACTGAATTTATGAAATATCTATTTTCATTGTGAAAATAAGAGAAAACTGACACTGTATAAAGTCTTATAGGGTATGAACCTGGGTACAGAGGCTCAGCTACCATAGGGACTGATTCAGCCAGGTCCATGGACCCCCTCCCCTGAGGATATCCTCGCCGGCAGAAAAAATGAATTGAAAGAGATGCACCAAAGTATACAGTTATAATCTAAAATATAAACTAAGCAACCAGCAATATATAAATGAGTGAAATAGTATTATCTATAGACCGAAACTCTTTAAATCATCTATAAACAGACATACAATTAATTTACAGAGGATTCTCTGAATGCAGGAGAACATGTTTAAAGAAATATTTCCCGGAAGAAGGGCCCCCAACCCACCTAATTCCACTGGCCCTAACTCGTATAGTTGAACCGCCGCCTGGGTGAGGCTGAAAGTTTTATAGATGACTCTGGAATTTAATTCATATACATGTACATCATGGTTCAGAATGGTACAGACAAATCCTACAGTGTATCAATAAAATCGAGATGAACTTATTCGTGTAATCCCGAGAATTACAATGAAATCATCAGCCCCGGGGTGAGACTGGAAGTTCCTGTCGGTAAATGGAAGAAGCATTAAAATAATTGTTCTGGTTTATGGTTGTCCGTCAATTATTGATGTGAATTATTGTTTATGTTTCGACCACAGGCTGAGTTTATAATCATGACCTCATCATATCCACTGAGAACATGTTAGCTCGACCTCGATATTAAAGGCCATGACTCGCTATTTTCAGAAGTTGGTTTGGACCTTGAATATATGTTAATAGTCATCAGAAGTACAAGAACTGTACGAACAAGGAATTTCACTTCTTATTTCTTTTCTTTCAAAAATTTATCCTGTCTGAAAATTGGGATAGCCAAAAATTATTCGTCTGGTTGATAATGAGGTATAGTGAATATATATTTCTTTTATTAACTAGTCCTTAACCTTTCAACATTATGTAGGAGTCTTGAAAAAAGCGACTCGTCAAAGTAATTTTGATGCACAGATAATTATGGACACATGACGAAGAAGGCTAAAATTTCGACGGTAAGCTCTGAACAATATTACTATTTAGTTTGAGTCTAAGGTATGATTGACCTCCGAAATTGACGAACCATGGCCTTTAAAATAGAAGCACAAAAATAACTCCATTGATACCAAGTACTAAATTCAATCTGAAATATTTCTGAAGAATCTTTGATGCCTTTAACCAGGCTATTAGCGTCAGTTCTTCTGAAGAATGATCTCGATGTGCCCTTAAATTGGGTCCTATCCCGAGTTCTCGGATACGATTCTGATTTGACCGTTCCGTACCCATAGTTTAATTAGGTATAACATTTACAAAATTATTTTCAGAGTCAGAATCAAAACTTGGGACGGAGCATTAAATGTTTATTTCCAACAATATATGGTCTAACTCAGGAGAAAATATTAACAGGCATTAAATTGACTTACAGGGGAGTGTCAGAATTCAGGAGAGCATATGATCAAAATACATTTCACGGAAGAGGGGCCCCTACCCACACCAGTACATGGACCCCCACTAATCTAGTTGAGCCATGCACTATGATATACCACAATATAATCTAGACATGATAGACGTATAGAAATATTAAATATAGAAATATGACTGTCCAAAGGATATCTTATAACTGCTTAATGGTCGGCCGTTTAATGTAATGGTAATTGTTACTTATTAGAATCCATTGAAAGACAATTATAGCCAATAACTGGAACTTATTTCATGTCCCTAGTAGACCTAATGGAGACAGGCAACGCCATTTTGTCATTTTGTCATTTTGTCATACTGTGTACAATGAGAGAATCATTCAAGCACTGCGGCTTTAGTTTAAGATTTCCAACTTTGGTCCGGGCTATAGGTTAAAAAATCTTGATTTAAATAGGACGAAAATCTGATGTCATGTTTCATTACATTAAGTAGTTGTTGGTATGATGACAAGTTGACGTGTGTTACCAGCGCGCTGAAATCACAGACTAGGTGTTGACGTCTAGCTAGCTGATAATACAAACTAAATAGTACGTGGTAGATGCCAAGTTAACGTTCGCTTCCAGCTTACTGATATCACAGAGTAGGTAATTGTTGGTAGATGACAAGTTAACGTTCGCTTCCAGCTAACTGATATCACAGACTAGGTAGTTGTTGGTATATGACAAGTTAACGTTCGCTTCCAGTGGATGCTGATATCACAGACTAGGTAGTTGTTGGTAGATGACAAGTTAACGTTCGCTTCCAGTGGATGCTGATATCACAGACTAGGTAGTTGTTGGTAGAGGACAAGTTAACGTTCGCTTCCAGCTAACTGATATCACAGAGTAGGTAGTTGTTGGTATATGACAAGTTAACGTTCGCTTCCAGTGAATGCTGATATCACAGACTAGGTAGTTGTTGGTATATGACAAGTTAACGTTCGCTTCCAGTGGATGCTGATATCACAGACTAGGTAGTTGTTGGTATATGACAAGTTAACGTTCGCTTCCAGCTAACTGATATCACAGACTAGGTAGTTGTTGGTATATGGCAAGTTGACGTTCGCTTCCGGCTAACTGATATCACAGAGTAGGTAGCTATTGGTAGATGACAAGTTAACGTTCGCTTCAAGCTAACTGATATCACAGAGTAGGTAGTTGTTGGTATATGACAAGTTAACGTTCGCTTCAAGCTAACTGATATCACAGAGTAGGTAGTTGTTGGTAGATGACAAGTTAACGTTCGCTTCAAGCTAACTGATATCACAGACTAGGTAGTTGTTGGTAGATGCCAAGTTAAGGATCGCTTCCAGCTAACTGATATCGCAGACTAGGTAGTTGTTGGTAGATGCCAAGTTAATGTTCGCTTCCAGCTAACTGATATCACAGACTAGGTAGTTGTTAGTAGGCATGGTATTTGATAGTTGGATCTGGATCAATTGGATGGTTTTGTACAACTAGTTTGGTTGTCGATTGACATGAGGATGGTGTGGAGCTCCCGACCTTCTTCATTCTTCCAAACGCGTTGTGATCATAGTAATTCTTGTTGATATGGTAGGTTAAATGTTGGTATGATTATCTTGTATCGATAGGATCTAAAGAGGTATTTTGTTGTTATAGCCAGACATATAAACCAATTAACTCTAATCACATTAAATGTGAGGTCAGGTCGACTGGCGGCTCATTGGATCCGTTGGAAGCGAATCGGAAGCGAATTTGACTGATGACCTTTGAATTAGTCATTATTCCAGTACCGGGAGCTCCAGCTGTAAATGGTAATCCAACGACAACCAAATAAAAATTTCACAAGTGTGAAATGTTGAATTGCAAATACCAAAATCTCAATATCAGGATTTTTTTTTTAAAACATTCAAAGTACCTATTTTTTTGGACATATGTGTTCTCAGTTAGCTACAAAATTCCTTCTTGTTTTCAAAGGTCATTTACTACAGCTTGTAGCGATTGAAGGGTCAGTATTATTTTTTAATATCCTCAAATGCCGACCAAGATGTTGAAGTTATGTAAGAGGTCCGTTTTTTTACACGCTTGCGCATAATATTCGCAATTATACGATACTTGAAATTTGGAAACGTTTCATAAATTTCAGCTTTCTGATACTTTCTGAGTATTAGAAGTCACCTTTTGTTGTTGAGTAGGGACTGAGATTTTTCACAAGACAAAAAAGGCATTTGCTAATATTTTTCAACTTGGCAAATAAATGGGTATGAATAAACCAGGGAAGTTCAATGCCAAGAGGTTATGGCAGGACCAGCTGGCAGCCAAAATCTAAAGTGAACGTTATCCGTTATCGTTATCCTTGTATATGAGTCCCAATTTGTAATCCCACTGGGCTTAGGCAGGGGTTTTTGTACTGGCGCTTTAACAATCCGAACAGTATTAGGTGTAGGGCAGGAAACGTGAATAGACATTATATTATCAAAGAAAGATAAGACAAGCCTTGAGAAAAATCAAACACGGTCACGAAGATATAAAATCACGTGCTGACCTGAAGAACAACCAGATTGTCAGCTAGCCGACTTGAATCATGTTGAAAATTGTCGCTCTTGCTCTTGTCTCCACAGGTAAGCATGTATAACAATATTAAACTCATGGGGTCCCTCTTCTGAAAATCTCCATTGTCTCGTTTAAACTTTATATAAGAAAACGGGTGCTTGACTCTTAGTTTCTGAGCATTTGATATCCTTAGGTGGTTCTTTGTTGTCATAAGCCACAGTGAGTTTGTTATGTATCGTTTACGTCGCCTCCGATGATGCTTCCACTGAGGTATCATTTATAGAGGATCTTAAACGAATGTTTATGTAATGTTCCAAGAAATAGGTTGCCGGATTTAATATTTAATCCGGCAACGATCAAGTCAAAAATATGTTATTTGGAACAATGTTATACCCTTTACCTTCAATTCTAACGTAGTAATCAACTTCAAATACCATATGTTGTTTTATTTACATAGTACATGAATACATTGCATAGTTATTAACCTATGCTACTAGTTCATATTGTTTTTGTGAACCTGTTATATGTACCGGAGAACAGAAATGCTGTGTGATAAATATAGTTACCATTCTTAACACTAATTTGGTGAATGCATCTCCTAATGCAAGGACGATACAAATTTTATGTATTCAAACTTGTCCACCATCTTGAACCTTGATTGAAATTAATTATTTTTAATGTCGCTGTTGGTAAAAGCATGAGAGTGTAGTTCACTGCTGTATTTTTGTCTCTAAGCTTTGTCAATGAATATAGATAAGTAGTCGCAAGTCAAATTTTGAAGTCGAAATAAATGTTTGGTTTGATGTAGAGAGTCGGTAGTGGCAACAAGATTGTTATGGAGACTCACAGCAGTTACCAAGTCAGTTATGGTCAGTTACCATATTCTAAAGAATAAAATGGAAATTTTAAGCATGTTAAATGAAACATATTCGTCTCAAACATTAAATGTCATTCTGCGGCTTGGTTTGTTAACTCAGTTTATCAAGAGCCCACTTATCTATACGTGGTATTTTTTTGTTATATAACTAGGGGTATTAAGCATATGGCATCTTCACACTGTCAAGCTATTACGAACTTTGTCTTATACCTTGACTACAATAACAACCTTTCTTTTATCTTTGAAGATTGTAGTGATTAGTGATTTGGTGGGGTTATTTACAAGCTAATACAGCCAATCAGAGCCCTCGACAGAAAGTATGTAAGTGTTAATATTTTGCTACATTTCTGTCGAGGTATCTGATTAGCTGTATTCACTGGTGTATAATCTAATCATATTGCTGCATTAACAAACTATACAAGAAAAGTGGCTATGGCAATCGAGGTATAAGACGAAATTGGTTATAGCTTGACATTGTGAAGAAGAGCATATGGTGGATTCAGAGATATACTATACAGTGTAGAGAGGATATACCAGATTGTGTTTCTGATAATGGATTTGATAACCACACGATGATGTGAAGTGATTATAAAGAGATTTTCTAAATTTTATATTTATTTTTTGTATGTATTTAATGGAAATTGATAACATCAATTAGAACCATTCCAATTTTCAATCAGACGTCTGTGGTTCCTGCAATTCCTCTAAAACTTAGTGTTTGATCACGTCACTAATCGCGAAGGGACTCGTGTGATAAAGCAAATTTGGCGATTACTGATGTCATCAAACACTTATTTCTTGTGGAATTGCGGGAACCACAGACGTCTGAATGAAAATATGAATGGTACAAATTGACACTATCAGCGATACACATCTTTTAGAAAACCTTTTTAGAGATCTAGATGTGATCTTTACTGTGTGCGTGACACCTTTTATCTCCCGTGATCTGACGAAAATGTAATTTACCACATGTTCATGGTCAGTGAAATATTAAACCAATCAAATGCCCTATTCAATAACTTGGATATTACATGTTCTAGTAAAGAAATTAATGGACTCTTACTAATATATAGATAGTGGTTATTGTTGGTAGTGTTTGTAATTGGAAGAATGTAATCCTATCACGAATTAACGAACATTTCTTATCATCTTACATAGGGAAAGAAATCTCAGTATTGTGAATCCCATTGTGAGGCCATACCTGTCATAATTAGTCTAATCAGGAGAAACATATAACATCATATATTAATTAAACTATTTAGGCCTAGCGGTTCAGTAATGTTTTATCACTGTCTTATCAGTTATAAGGTTTGATAAAAACAAAGGTTTCTTCAGTCTTCTCGGATTTGCTATTTGCGATCAGTAACCACTTTTGTCGCATTGCACTTTCTTCCACCATTCTCAATCAGAATGGAAAAGGCGGACATAATACTCTATTTCGTGACATAATGCTCACTCTTTTCAAAACACCTGATGGTACTTCTTTTTGAAAGAGTCCACTACTACACAACTTTTACTCTCGATTTTGGCATTCTTTGGACCAGATTTTGATAAACGGAATTGTCTTGCTTGTACTGATTTGTTATTCTTATAATAATTTTTATTCTAGTTGTGGTACTGGGTCAGACATTTCCCCATACTGACCACTCCGAGCACCATCACGGTACATCAATCTGTGCCTTTATCGGCAACGCTGACTGTTCTATCTTCGCCCCTCATACAGTATGTGGTACTGATGGCAAGACCTATAACAGCAAGTAAGATTTAATTTCGTTCATATTTCAATGCCAAATGTACTATGCTGTTTTAGGGCAAGTAAAATGTTATTTTGTACACTACAATTTTTTTTACCATTGGCTCAACTACCATCATGTTAAGGACCGGTAGCATATATTGTAGAATATGAACAATATAATGCTACCGGTGCTTAAGGAACATGATCTACCATAGGGACTGGTTGAACGAAGTCCATGGGCCCCCACCTTAAAGGGGACCGACAACAGAAAACAGGCCTGTAACAAGAGGGGAGTCAGCCCTCCCCCCCTAAGAAAATTTGACCCAAATCTCCCCCCCCCCCCCCCGCCTCCTTAGTCCTCAACTGCCCTCAGTATCTTATGCAAGTACTTATGGCATCGTTTAGTAGAATGTGAACTTGTAGTGCGAATATCAGACGACAAAATCCATTAAATTTCTTTTTTTCTTATTTAGATGTGATTTCTCCAAGGCCCACTGTATTTCTGCCGATCTACATGTAGTTCACAATGGAACTTGCGACCCCACAATTGATAAGGTTCCAAATGTCCACGGAAACGAACTTGTTCATCAATTCTTCTGCGCCAATCTCCAGCATTCCAAATGTGGCACCGACTTCGAAATTGTTTGTGGCACCGATTTGGTCACTTATGATAACTTGTAAGTTTGAAATACTATATCTGTATAAATGTTCTATAATGGGTGGCACTATTTAGAAAAGTTAATGCTCACCACACTATACATTTGACAGTACCCTGCAACTGAGCTTTTGTGGTTTGTCAAATCAAACACCCCTTTTGGAGAGTTCACATGGATAATTTCATGATTCAATATGCTAAATATAGATTCTCTTTCAGTCAATACTAGCTCTCGATTATATAACGCGGCCAAACTTTCTGTCGAGGGCTCTGATTGGCTGTATTCGCTTACATATAATCCAATCAAATCGCTGAATTCCGTGATACAAGAAAGATGGCTACTGCAGTCAAGGTTTTAGATTTAGTTCGTGGGGAAGATGGATTGCCAAACGGTTATTTTGGATTTTTATTTCGCTTTGTGGTTCGGATCGTTAGTAATTAGTTTTTATTGTATACTGTTTTTATGATTTCAGATGTTTGTTTGAGAAAGCCAGATGTAGCAATGTCAAGCTCAATGTCTACACGTACCAAGCCTGCCCCACATAATAACACTGTTTTTAATCTTCAACTGAAATAAAATGATTCTTTAGACTTCTCGAATATGTTATTCTTGAATATCCATCAGGGCTTTTAAATGACAGATGCTTTCAAGGGACAGGTTCGGCATTTTCGTTGGTTGATTTTGGCCCTGAATATAATCTTCAGAAATACTAGAACTTTGCGAAAATTGCATATTTCCTGCAAAAATACCTCAAAAATAAGAAATTTCACTTTTTATTGTTTCGTTCACAAGCTTATCTTCACTATGAAAATCGGGGTATTTGAAAGTTGAACGTCTTGTTGATAAAGTCTCTTACACCAAGACATTTTGCGTTAGTTTCCGTGAGTTGAATAGCAGCATTCCAGTCCCGAAGTTGATACGAATGTTCGTCGTAGACGAAATGGGACTGGATAATTGGGCCTACTGTAGTAAATCTGGTAATGAGACGAGAAGCTTTTTTAACTTTTAAGACGGATATATAACTTGCCCCCTCCGGATATATAACTTGCCCCCTCCGGACATATCACTGCCCCTCCGAACAATCAAGTCTGGCTAAAAACCAGGGTTGGTTAATTCAACCAATCAGATGCCAAATAAAGTATTGCATTACCACATGAATAATTCTGCTACTTTGCAAATTTGGCTAAATTGAAAATATAAGCTAATTAAAGACGGGAATAAAGACTGGTCTAACTTCAATTAGACTGAAGAATTGTTAAATATTCATTGACCTGTACAGTGTGTACTTTATTATCTGTCATCAGTTGAATAGCATAAATTATGACAAATTTTGATGCCATTGAGCCATTTTTCTGCAAAATATAACTTTAAAGAGAAATCCGGTCAGACCATGGATCTGCACAAAAAAAAAATATACCTAAAAGAAACATGGAATTCAAGAAGTCATCTTAAGTGGGGGTCTGTTTCTGCTGAACGTTAAATGTCCAAGGGAGGTAATATTGATATTGAAATAACAAGGCAAAGTTAAAGGATGTAATCATGAATAAGGTACTTTATATTTGAATGAAACGGAAATACAAAAAGGAGCCTTTCGCTATAACGCAGTTTGTAGAGACAGTCTTATATTGACTAGACCGAAACATTTGCCCCTATTCCAGCCTCTGAAAGCTATTTGACAGATATCTGCTTTCCATGAAGTAAAGGACAAGATATTATATGCATGGTTTGTCTGATGATCTCTCAGCTAATTTAAGTCAGAGCATGTGAGACTATTTTAACAAAAGTGGTCCAAGGGAAATAACTCCATTTAATGGTATCAAAGGTGAAGGACGGTAAACATGTGGCTGTAGACGGAAACTTAGTGACTGAGTGAAAGTTCACAGTAATATTTCAAGGTTTGTAACAAATCATTACTGTTTAGCAAGATTTTTTTTGTGGCATTTTTTAGCCGGCTTTGGAATTCCGTGGTTCTGTGAGAATGGAATAATTCTCGCAGTTAACATGGATCCACAGACACTGAGACAGAAGGCCCAGTAAAGTCGATTGCATAATGATTGCAAATAAAAACACACTACACTGATTCGATAGTAGATGTTTATGCTGAGGCAGGTTCAGCTAATTAGTATTGCATAGGAATGAAGGCTACGTGATGTTTAGCACGTAGATAAGTTATCAGCACTCGTGTATTGTTTGAATGACTGTAATTGTCTGTAGCCTATATTTGTCTTGCATGGCTTTGTTTATGTTAGCCTGGTGCTCTCTTCTAGTTGTTGTAGGTAGGTAAGTAGGGTTTTAAAAAAAAGTACATCAGGGTACACAGATAATTTTCTTCTTAATTTTTCTATTTCTTCTAAGCCTTCTTCTGATCGAATTTTCTGAATTTTTTTCCTTGCCATTTCACAAAAAATGTTAAAAATTTAGAATTGGAAAATAAAGTCCAACTAATGAATTTTTACAGTGGTGTAACCTATTTTCGTGCATATAAGGATTCAACACTGAATTTCGTCAAAGTTAAATACACCGTTATTTTTTTTTATGTCTTAGATTCATTCTACTAGCTGACATTATACAGATAACCCATGTTTATCAAAACAAGCAAATGCGGAGTTCACGCGAGGTCACACATTTAAATTATTAATCCTTTCCAGAAATGCACGAAAAATGGGTTAGCACGAAATTAGGTTACTTGACTGCACTCATATTGACTTAGTTTGAGACTTTAAATTCATTGATCATTTTAATTAAGAGGCAGCATTCCTTTAAGATCACCGATTATATAAACTAGATCTATAATGGATCTCTTTAAATCCTGCTTTATTTAACATTTCTAATTTTTTTTTAAAAAGATTAAGTTTAACCCAGATATTATCAGTAACCTACTGACTCTGTTTTAACATTGAATGAAAATATTATAGAGTTAACCTGGTACAATATTATACTAGACTGATCATAACAAACTTTTATATATACCTACAGTGTTATTACTATGATATATTTTACTGTATAAGGTTACCAGTACTGTGGTTTCAATTTTTATGAAGCGTTGTATTACTGTATTTTATATGTTTTTATTTCATATAGAGTGTATTTTATAAGGTTACAGTTTTGTAGGCCTACATATCATATTGTGCATTATATTTTGGATTCCAATCTAATGTCATTGTAGTAAAGTTGTGCATTTCAATCAATTTACCTTTCGGAATTGACCAGATGTTCTTTCGAAATGTTTACTGTGATACATAAGACTTATCAGTATTCAAAACAGAACCTGAAAATTGCTGTTCTTCACAGATTCACGCTGCTTGATCTTCAGACATCATTTTAAGTTTTAAGTGTTGTCTGCCTTTAAAGTAAACAGTCTGTATTTTCAGGGATTGATTTGGGTCTTGAATGTGTTTTAATAGTCTAAAGAAGTACTAAAACGCATGAAAATCCCTTCAATTATAACATAGAAATTTTACTGTCTACTTCTATATATGTGTTTTCTATATATGGCATAGTCTTACTAAAATTCGCGTCAAATTTTTTTAATTTTCAAATTTGAATAATTATGGATACATATTGATTTGGAGGCTCAAATTTCGACACTATTACTGATTATGTAAACTTAAAAATTTCCTGTTTCTGAAACTAAGGTATGATTGGTCGAACTGATAGTGAAGGTACTCCTTTAACTTGTAGAGCCACCATGGCTGCTACTGGATTAACTGGTGCCATTGGTTTTCCATCTTACTGTCTGTTTTCTTTCAATCTTACTCTTATCAACTTCTCATTGAAATATATCTCATTTCTAGATTCACTCGTTGATGATTTGAAATGTTTTGTATATTTTAGATTTGAAAAATGTTGGAGAAATTAGTAAAGATATTCCCTACAACTGTATGGACAGCCTTCCTAGCCACAGCAGCTATAGCATGGTTTATTTATAACAGGAGAGACCCACCTGTAAGTAAAGAGGTTTTCTTGACTTTGTATGTGTATTGGGGACGCTGACAGCAGATTTAGTTCTTGTAAAGAGGTTTTCTAAATTATTTTAGTGACGTCATCAAACTCTTATTTGAGGGGAATTTGCAGGAACCACAGATGTCAAATGGAAAATTGGAATGGTGCAAATTGATGCTATCAGTGTCCGCGATACAGTTAAAATTTGAGCAAACCTCTTATCAATTTCTTTAATACTCTGTTACATACAAAAGACTTTTTTACAATTACATGAATACACTAGTGAAATTTATTGATGGCATCATTTGGTTAAGATTATTGTATCTATTTATTATATTCTTACAGCTGGAACCAGCCCCTGAAAACAATGAGAAGAAGAAAAATAAAAAACTTACAAAGAGAAAAGGAAAGAAAACAATGAAAGTTTTTTATGGTACACAAACTGGAAATTCAAAGGTAAATAGTAACATCATTGTATTTTACAGTATCACCTGTATATTGACTTACTGGGTCATTGAATGTCTTGAGGATGTACTTCAAGCTTGATTCTATATATTGTTTGATTCTTCCATCTCCCGGATGATTTAATTGGCTTGAGACCTTTCATTCACAATAACAACGTATAACAAATTGAGTCTTATACCTTGGCTTACATATATTGTTTGATTCTTCCATCTCCTGGATGATTTAATTGGCTTGAGACCTTTCATTCACAATAACAAGTTATAACAAACTGAGTCTTATACCTTGGCTTACATATATTGTTTGATTCTTCCATCTCCCGGATGATTTAATTGGCTTGAGACCTTTCATTCACAATAACAAGTTATAACAAACTGAGTCTTATACCTTGGCTTACATATATTGTTTGATGATTTACTCAGAGTAGGCTTGAGGCCTTTTATTCACAATGTCAAGGAATAAGGAACTGCATCTTATACCTTGATTGCAATAGCCATATTTTATGAATTGTTTGCATAATCTGAATAGTGCTGATATAATGAAACACTCTTATTGAGAATAGTCCAAGAGGCCTCTGTGGTATCTCTATGTGGTTTTAACTAGTATGCTGAGTTTGGTGCCATGCTGTAAAGCAATGTGCCTGGTCTAGTAGTCTAATAGGTGCCGAACAGAAGGTCGTAAATCCGTGTTTAGTTTTTATTTTCCACCCTGCTTATTAAATGTTTGTGATTACTTTTTACCAGTGTCAGATATCAGGTTGAAAAGCAATACCCCTTGTCCAGCAGCTGAATATTTGCTGAACGGAAGAACAAATTTATATATATTTATGTTTATATTTGTGGTTGTAGAAATTTGCCGAGATATTGGCGTATGAATATGAATTAAGAGGTTATGGTACAGAGGTTGTTGATTTAAAAACATATGATCCAGAAGATAATTTAGTTGAGGAGGTTAGTTTATTGATTTTGAAATTGTTTTTATCTGTACAGATATTAAGATCCCTTTTTCTGTGTATTTACATTTTTTAGATTTTATCAACAGGGAAGAGCAAAAGTGTTGACTTTTTTCAGTCGTTTCCTTGAACTAATTTGTTTTAATCATTTCTTTTTATGAGTCTGAACTCAATTGTTATTTTTTTTAAATAATGGCCTTATTAAGTAAGAAGTTATTTAAAAAATTAGGTCAATGAACTACAATATATGACAACAATGTGTTACTCTAACTTCCTGAGGTGTGATACACAATAATAAATGTAATTAAGGTTAATATTTCCTTGTTGTAAAATGTCTATATTTTCACATTTTATAACTTTAAAGAGGAAGAACTTCATAATAAAAAGTGGTATCAGGTGTCTAGAAGAGAAAGGACACAATGTTTTATTTGACATGTTTCTTTATTTCCTTCATATTTGACAATCATACATGATGTTGTATAAAGACAACTGTAGGTAGATTAAACTTACCTTATTGTATTTCATCATATTTCAGAATGCCAATGGTAATATCTGTGTATTTATTATCTCCACTTACACTGATGGTCAACCACCAGAGGGCGCTAGCTGGTTTTATAAATGGTTGACTGATACTTCTGATGATTTTCGGGTCCAGAAGACCTTGTTAAAAGGTTTATATTATACTATAGTTGGACTGGGTAACTCTGTATATAAAGATAATTACTGCACGGTAAGTAGATTGTCTTTAATAAAGACTCTTGGTTGTCCTAAAATATCTTACTATATGTTGTTAGTGTGGAATTCGAATTTCGACTTTTGTGTCCTGTTCTTTACCTCGTACCAAGATTCTGTCGATGGGAAGGCTTAACTTACATACAGAGTTATACAAAGTGGGGAAAACCCCTCAGCTGTTTTATAACACTGTAAACCATCCTGTCATGCCTAGATGGACTCTTAAATGATCTTTGCTCCAATATAAAAATGTCATTTTATGTCAAGTTTTAAATGTGTAGATCTATATATTTCTGAAGAATGGGAAGTGCCAGAGTATATTGGGGCTAACATGAATTGATGAATTCATCACAGTATCTGGTAAAAGTTTTGTTATTGTTCTACATTACAATATTAAGATGTATATTACAGGTAGCTAAGAAACTAGATAAAAGTCTTCATGATTTATCAGCTACTAAGTTCTCAGAGACGATATTCTGTGATGAAAATACAGTTAACAGTCTTAATGGAGGTAAGGGTTTCATAATGTGCCTAGACTTGGATTGCTAGATTGTAGACAAACTCAATGTCTAATTTGAAAAGTAACACAGATGACGGAATTAATTTTTTAGCAGCTAGTAAAATATGGAAAACCATATTAATTGAAGCTAAAATGTCTAAAATGACTAGCAAAACTGGATGTTTAATTTTATTCTGAAAAGTAAGCTGCTCCATCAGCTGAGCAGATATTTGGATGACCATTTCCCTATAAGTAAAAATCTCTAAGAAAGAAGTTCAGTAATAGTGGTGCTTTGAATTGTATACAAACTCAATGTTTATATATTTCATTTTGAAATGTGACACTTATGGCTATGATAAACAACTGGTAAAGCAAATAGAAAATCAGTGTCAATATAATGTGAAATGTTAAATTCTTTTGTGTTTCCTGAATTTCATATTTATTCCAGGACTGGAAAGTGATTTTGCAGCATGGAGAGAAAATTTCTGGAAAAAAGCACAGCCTGCTTTAAATGGTAGAAAAGTTAAAGACTGTGGTAAAAAATGTGATGGGAAATGTGCTTGTTCTAAACCAGGGGTTGATGGTCAGGAGGCGGGGCCTTGTAGTTCTGATGAAGGCTCTGGTGAGGAAGAGGTAAGAATTGATAGGAGGCACGTCAGAACAGTCAGAAGGTCAGGGCCATGTATAGCTTGCATGGTTAGAATGGACAAGAGGTGGAGCTATGTTGTTCTGATGAGGGCCATGTAGTGGTGAAAATACTTAAGATGACAGAAGGTGGGCTCATGTATTGCTGACAAGGCTTAACATGACAGAAGGTGGGCTCATGTAGTGTCACAAAACTTACAATGTATAGTTGTTTGAGGCTAGATAAAAATCCTAATTTCAGACAAGTGTTCAATTTCATAGGGAAAAATTAATGAATGTTTCATCCCAATTTATTCCAGATTTTATTTGAAACAGAAAGTGAAGAGGAAAATGAAGAAAACAAAGAAAATGTTCAGAATCAGTTTAACTCTAAAAATAAATCATCTCCAAATAAAGTTAAACCAGCCAATAAAACTTCAGGAGTGGTTGATTTGGAAGATTTGGGTAAAATTATGAAAAAAGCAAAGGTAAGATTTTATAAAATATACCTTGAATGAATTTTACTTGAACCTATGATGTCATAAAACAAATTATTCCTGAAAATTATTGTAATCGATATCAGAATTTTGAAATGGCCTGAAAATCTTAGAAAACTTGGTGCTAATTTAAGCTTCCCTCACATTTTTAAAATGAAAACTTTGAACATTCTGTGTTAAAAAAAATGTTCAGTTTTGATAAAGATTTTGTTAGGTTATGTTTAGATATGTATAATCTTATATAAAAGAAAGAAATTGTTTTTTTTCCAGCAAAATAAGGACATAGAGGAAACAGGTGAAGTTAGAGAAATGATAACACCATTATTACGTCAGTCACTGGAAAAACAAGGCTATAAATTGATTGGTTCACATTCTGGAGTCAAACTGTGTCGCTGGACGAAGGTTAGTAAAGAAATTAAAAATTGTTTGTTCAAAGTATAAGAAAAATATTCAAAAATTCCATCTTTTCTATTTCTTTGGATTCCATCAGTTACTAAATTATACATTAACTAGATCTCAGATTTTCATCTTGAAAAGTAGTTTGGATAGTCAAGATGCAGCCAAATTAGGTGGTAATACGAGGTTGTCTACCTTTAAGCAACATCAATATGTATTTTATCTATAATTCATTCCAGTCAATGTTGATTTTTCACATGTATTTGATGCAGGTCGAAGGGGCTGAAAAATGTCCCTCATTAATTGCACCCATGAAATTCTATTTATTTTGTTTTTTTCAGTCAATGTTACGAGGTAGGGGAGGGTGTTATAAACATACATTCTATGGTATAGAGAGTCATCGCTGTATGGAAACAACTCCTAGTCTGGCCTGTGCCAATAAATGTGTCTTCTGTTGGAGGTAATATTATGATTTTGTCTTTGACATTAAATGGATATCCGAATGAAAATGATTAGGGAATGTTAAGAGGTTTTCTAAAGGAATCACAGACGTCTGTTTGAAAATTGGAATTGTGCAAATTGATGCTATCAGTGTCTCTGATACACATTACAAATTTATAAAACGTCTGTAATTGATTTTTTGACAAAGTTTAAAAACTCAATTCAAGATACCTAATCATACTTAATCATTAAATTCTTAAGATTTTTTATTTCAAAGCAGTAACTTATTATGTATATTTCAGACATCACACGAATCCAGTAGGAACAGAATGGAAGTGGAAAATGGATGATGCAGAAACTTTGATTGCAGGAGCTTTAAAGAATCATACTAAAATGATCAATGAATTTAAAGGTACAGCCTCATCTTATTTCTATATTAAAACTTCAAAAATAGAACATTAGAGATCTAGCATAAGTGGTTACATGCTTCATAGGGCAGCTGGTTATTAGGTATAAGAGAGTGAGAGCCGACTCTGGAATGACTCACAGAAGCACTGGCACAGGCTCAATTGTTAGGATGAGACAATAATTAAGTTCAGAGGCTTGTCCTCTACAGACTGTGCAAGTTGGAAATATAAAAAATGAATATGCTGTTCTGGCAAATGAACACTGCATAATGCATACTTTTTGAGAACAAAAATAGGACTTAGAACTCAGATTGATTTGCACCCTGCATGGCGTTGCCTCTCTTCATTAGCCCACATGGTGCAGAAAAGTAGGACTTAAAACTCCATTCATTTCATTTCATTTTCTGATTGATTTTCAGGAGTACCAGGAGTTATTCCAGAACGATTCCAAGAGGGAATGAATCCACAACATTGTGCCTTATCTCTGGTAGGAGAACCCATCATGTATCCAGAAATTAATAAATTTATAGATTTATTACATGAAAAACACATATCAACATTTTTAGTCACCAATGCACAGTTTCCAGACGCCATTAGGTAGGCCACCATCTTGAATTTATAATTTACACCTGGATTTCTTTAAAAATTCTTACACGGCAAAACGTTAATTAGTATTTCAAAATTTCTGACTTAATTGGAAAGGAATGTAGGAATGGTTCAAGTAGTGGCCTTATGTTGCTGTTCTGGCAAAAATTCCCTGTGTTTTGGGTGTAATGGATGTCCCATTTGACATTCAAGATCACCCAATGCTACATTGACAGGCTTTGATGACTTTCATTCAACAATTTCTTTGTGTTTGTGGTAGGATTAATTTGATTTTAGAGCATGCTATTCTGACTACCTTGATAACGTCTACATTTTACCATTCATATTAACAACTCTCACCCCCTGTGTTACAGGGAGCTAACTCCAATTACCCAGCTGTATGTTAGTGTAGATGCCAACACGAAAGAAACACTGAAAAAAATCGACAGGCCATTATTTAAAGATTTTTGGGAGCGATTTATCGAATGTTTAAAAAGATTAGGAGAAAAGGGGCAGAGAACTGTGTATAGACTAACTCTAGTTAAAGCCTGGAATACTGAAGAAATAGAAAACTACGCTAAATTGGTTGACCTCGGGCGTCCTGATTTTATTGAAGTGAAGGTTAGTCATATTTTTGTATGATATTTTGTGGACTAAAGAAAGTACTATATTGGGCTAGTAACTATTTTTGTGCTTACCCTTGTTCGATTCTGAATCAATTTTGTTTCTTGAAAGTGATAGATATCAAAGGAACTTGTGTCTAAAAGACTTGTTTTTCTCATGAGAAAAGAAAGAAACAACTATATTTTACATGGATAGGTTCAAAATTAAGGAGCTTTTCTACCAGGTGGTCCTTGGCCAAACCTCTTGGCATTGATCTTTCCCAGATTATTCGTACCCGTTTACAGCTGGGTTGACTGGAATTATGAGTGAAGATGACTTATTCAAGGTCATCGGACTTTCACACACCAATTGAGATCGGAACCCACAGCCGCCATTTGCTCGACGTAACCATGCAAATGATGTCATGTAAAGAACCATTGCTCTCACCGTCTGTGCCATTAGGCTAGTTACTATTTTTGATTCTAGAACAAATTTTGGCTCTAAAGTGATATAGGTCAAAAGAACTTGCATCAAAAAGACTTGTTTTTCTAATGAGACAATGAACCCAAGATTCCTTGAAAGGTGGATGACTCACAGTTGGTGAGCTCTGCACATTCGGAATTCATGGAATCAACTGGGAGTTTTGTGCTATTCTATTCTTTGATATCCTATCCCTAATTCTATTCAGGTTTTCTTAATGGATTTTCTGTTTTTTCCAGGGAGTAACATATTGTGGAGATTCGAAAGCCTCCAGTTTAACGATGGAAAATGTGCCATGGCATGAAGAAGTTATAAAATTTGTCACAGATTTAACGGATCGATTACCGGATTATGAAATAGCCTCGGAACATGAACACTCCAACTGTCTGTTATTGGCTCATAAAAAGGTAATTCACCAAACCATCTTAGTCCAAAACATCTGCCTCTATTCCAACCTTTGATAGATATTTTGAAAATTGCCAGCCAATAACTGTGGAAGTATCGATAAGAGGTTGGAATAGAGGAAGACGTTTCAGATTACCACCATCTTCAAAATATGTGAAACTATTACTCATTTCTACTGTGTTTCCCTTTAACAGGTAAGCCTCATATTAGGGACTTCAATCAACAAACTTCACGTAACCATTTTTTACTCCCACAAATAGTTTGAGCATTCATTGTAATCAACCAGTCTGTTCCGTTTTGCTTTTTATTTTGTAGGTCAAAGTCATTATGAAAATGATTTCTATCGATTTTTGTGATGATCTGATAATTTTTTCCGAAATATTCTTTCCAACTTGGTATATTTGCTCACTCTTCAACAATTCTCTATGGATTCTTTTGATTTTTATATGCCCGATTTTGTATGGAAGCATATTGTCGTCCATCCGTCGATAAAAACTGGCCAGGATGTGACACAATAAAGTTTGTTTAAAATTCTCTATAGATTAAATACGAACCAAATGTGAATGGACAACAAACAATGATTTGCACTTGAAATTACAGCTGCTGGTGGGCGTAGGTCACCTTGCTTCGCAAGTCTATTTTTAAGTTTTGTTCTCTAAAAAAATGAACAATGCACAAAATTCATGAGTGTTGTATTACTACATGCATCCTTTCTAATGTTTTAATGACAATGTAGATCACCATTAACACATTTTTATGATCTTTTTATGGTATGATTCACAAAATCTCCCTTTTTACTAGCTCATAAATAGTAATTCACAAAACATGTGTCATATTCAGAGAGCCTTTTTAACAATTTCGTAAATTCACAGGATATTTGACAAAGCTCTTAAAGATCATTGGTTATTGATATAATTCATGCATATTCATGATACCAACATTTTGAGGGTTTAATTCTTAAATCTTCCTTATTCCAATCCTGTTAAAATACGCTGAAAGTAATTGTTTGCCATAATTCAAGGGTTTTATTCACAGCACAACAATCTTAATGGGTAACAATAATAAAAATTAATAGCAGTAATGTGTAATATGATTATTAGTTCATTATTCATGAAATATTCTGTCACATTTTGAGGGATTATCAATGCTGATGCTTTCTTTTTGTTGGTGGAAAAATCATTTTTACTCAAACATGTCCCTTGACTCATCTGAAAGTTTCAACCAACAAAATCCTGTCGTTAATTATTTAACACCAATACTGATTACAAGTTTTACAGAAACGATTAAAGTTCTTTAGCTACTACTATGCAGATTTAAGCAAACTAAAGGCCTAGTTATAGAAAATTATGTCTCCTATTTATTCTGAAGGTTTCAAGTGATAATATTGAATCTCTATTAGATCAAGATCTCTAAAACCAAAACTAGTTTAACTTGCTAACTTATTGTACAATTTGTACACTCCATTTTTTTAATTAACCCTCGGTTTTTAATTAACCCTCGGTTTTTAATTAACTCTCCATTTTTAATTAACCCTTTTAAAACTAATTCAGTTTAATCAAGTTTTTATCAAGACACATAGAGGAAACATATTTTAAAAATATATTCAGGTATAAATTACAATGTTTTTTGATAATAAAATTTTGCCCCTTTAATTCCAAATCTTCGTTTATTTCAGTTAAAAGTTAAAGGAGAATGGTGGACCTGGATAGATTATCCTAAATTTCATGAACTTATATCTGAATATACACTATCAAACGGTAAAAAAACATTCACTACTGAGGACTATATGGCTAAAACACCCCCCTGGGCTGTGTACGGGGCAACAGAACGTGGTTTTGACCCCCTAGAGACCAGACATCATCGTAAAAAACAGAAAGATATTAGTGGTTGCTGAATTGAAAGATTCCAGATGAATTTATTATTTTACTTTATGAAACTGGTCAGGAATATCAGGAATTCCACATGTATAAAGTTATATTGTCAATCAATTTTATTAAATGTGTAGTTTTTTCCAAACTCTTTAGAGATATTTATGTTAATCATGGTATATTTCTAAACATTAACAAGAATAGGCTAAATATATTGAAGGTAAATAAATATTAAAGGGATTGTAAATAGGTTTATTAAATTTTTTATGTGTATCAGTGTCCCCGATACACATCAAAATTTTAGTAAACCTCTCAACAATCCATTTAATAGAAACTTTCATTGTGTTGATTGCTGTTCTTGTTTTGAAATATACTCTGATCTGTATAAATATCTATATTAGCATATGCTTGCCATTTCATGCTGAATATCTTCATTTAAATTATTGGAACTGATATTACATGTATTCATTTTAATTTCATTATGTAATGAATTTGACGTACATAACTGAACAAAACGACTGTTCTCTTGTATATCTTTCAATGTGTATAATAATAACACTAGTATTTATATTGTACAATGCCTCCAAGTCACCTTGTTAATTATGCGCATAGTTAAATTCAGATTGAAAAATTTGAATAGCAATCGGTTTTATCAATTTCCTTTTTGGCTATCAATCCCATATTAAGTGATGCCACTGAACTGTGCCCATGGTAACATGGTATAATGTTAAAAACTTTTATGAGAATAAAATCTGTATTTAATTATGAAATGTGTTGAAATAATTTCACAAATATGCTGCCATGACCCTATATAGTCTCTAGCTATTTACACTCCTTATACATTCTTCATTGTTCTGTGGCCTCATTGGTGTGGCCTCATTGGTGAGTACCATTGAAAAGATTGGGCTTCAAAAGGTACCTAAATCTATTAGCCACACTGTAAAGTAATTTGACTGGCCATACTTAAACTTCTATGAAATGTTTTGATTGGAGTGGCCCCAATGTTCTTCCATACAAATGAAAAGAATGAAGCCGCCACATTTGTCTTCCATACAATTGAATAAAATTGGTGTTAATTATTAGCCAGATTGGGCTTCTGTATCGTTTAAACGATTGTAAATAAGGAGAGTGACAAAGTTTGGCTTCCATTTAAATTAGATTTATTGACTGCTTTGGCAATAACCACAGAAAATGGGGAAACTAGTTTCAATTGAGCTTCCATATAGATATGTCTTGATAACTTACAGTACACTTAAGCCACTTTGAGCTTCCATATATGTTTTAAGATCTAATCGGTCCGTCAAGTGTTTTTTAATGGTAGATAATTTGGTACAGTGTGATACTAGTGTGGACTGATTTAAACACTATTTATATTGTAAAAGTGTTGACAGGTTTAACACTATACTCAACATCTACACTGTTTGTACTGACAATTGATGAAAACTGATGCTATCTTTATCTTAACTTTTTCCTGAATTATAAATCATTTTTCTGACTAAGTGACCTCATTGGCCACACCAAAAAAGTCGATTTCTGAAAGTATATTATAACAAACCTGTGTTCAATTGCACTGTTAGGGTTGTTCTCGAGCAGGAGACCGTCGATTGTTACCCATGGTACAAATTGATATATCGAAATGTACCCTTATGTACACAAAATAAGTAATATGTGAAGAGAGATGTAAACATTTCCCTGTAGTAGGAGAGGTGTGAACAAGTCCCTGTGGTGGGAGAGATGTAAACAAGTCCTCGAGATCGGAGAGCTGTAAAAAAGTCCATATGGTAGGAGAGATGTAAACAAGCCCCCGTGATTGGAGAGCTGTAAACTTTTCCTGTTGTAAGAGAGATGTAAACAAGCCCCTGTGATACGACAGATGTAAACTTTCCCTGTGGTAGGGGAGATGTAAACAAGCTCCCGTGGTTAGAGAGCTGTAAACAAGTCCCTGTGGTAGAAGAGATGTAAAAAAAACCTGTGATTTGAGATGTTGTAAACAAGCCCCTGTGGTTAGAGATATGTAAAAACAGCTCCCGTGGTAGAAGCCTCTGTGATTTGAGAGTTGTAAACAGGCCCCTGTGGTAGAAGAGATGTAAGCAAGCCCCCGTGGTTAGAGAGCTGTAAAACAGCTCCTGTGCTAGAGGATGTAAACTAGTCCCTGTGGTGGGAGAGATGTAAACAAGCTCTTGTGGTTGGAGAGCTATAAACAAGCCCTTGTGGTAGGCCAGATGTAAACAAGTCCCTGTGGTAAAAAAGCTCCTGTGGTTGGAGAGCTGTAAACAAATCCCTGTGGTAGGCCAGATGCAAACAAGTCCCTGTGGTAAAGAAGCTCCTGTGATTGGAGAACTGTAAACAGCCCCTGTGATTGGAGAGCTGTAAACAAGCTCCTGTGGTTGGAGAGCTGTAAACAAGCTCCTGTGGTTGGAGAGCTGTAAACAAGCTCCTGTGTTTGGAGAGCTGTAAACAAGCCCCTGTGGTTGGAGAGATGTAAACAAATCCCTATGGTAAAGAAGCTCCTGTGATTGGAGAACTGTAAACAAACCCCCGTGGTTAGAGAGCTGTAAAACAGCTCCTGTGGTAGAGGATGGAAACTAGTCCCTGTGGTGGGAGAGATGTAAACAAGCTCCTGTGGTTGGAGAGCTGTAAACAAGCTCCTGTGGTTGGAGAGGTGTAAACAAGCTCCTGTGGTTGGAGAGCTGTAAACAAGCTCCTGTGGTTGGAGAGCTGTAAACAAGCTCCTGTGATTGGAGAACTGTAAACAAGCCGAGAAGATAGAATCTATGAGAGTTATATGATGACAGACAATTCCAGCAATCTGATTAACCTGATGACTGAAATCTCAATAATAAAACTGCAGGAATTCTACCACATAATAATTCTATCAACGAGGAGTAAACTGTGCTCTAAGTGTTACACATTTTTCCGAACACTTTGCGTTCAAAAATATATATTTCAGTAAACTTTCGTCAGACTATTATTATCTTCCTAAAGGTGCAGGCACACGAGAGGTCTTGGTCGGAGACTTTTGTCGCCAATTAGAGTCTTGTCTTGAGTATCAACGACTGGCACGGGCACGTGATGAGACAAATATCTCCAGTTGGTCGTTTTCCACCTTGTTGATAATCACATGCGGAGCAAGCAATTGAAAGGAAAACGAATCTATGAAAATGAATGGATGATGACGGTCTGTCTTGCAGACGATAAAACTATCAGAGGCAATTATCTAACTTGTCCTGTCGGGGACGCGATAATCCTGTCATGTGCCCGCACCTTTATGGGGCTGAAAAAAGGAATTTGGTTATTCTGTACCTCAAAAATCTTAAAGGACAGGTACACCATATATTCAAGAATAAAATATCCCAAAATGCCGCAACTGTCCCTTGAAGGGGTGGGTACACCACGAGCTCTCATACCGAAAAATTGGCCAACTAGCAGGAAGTGGGATCAACTGGATTTGTCAGTTCATCTCAGTTTAACGACTCAATTGATCCAATTTTTGCTAAAAGTAGAACCAATGTTTTACTCGAAGTTTTTCCAACCGCTACGAAAACACATTGGTTTTGGAGAGTTACAGGCCCAATCAATACCACCCTCCCCATTATGCACCAAAGCAAAAAAATGAAGCGCATCCTACCCTGGCAAGGACTGCGTGCATTTGCTTCTCTATGTTCTGCCGTATCGAAAGCCCCACACTTGTACACAGGTACCGTACATTGTACCTTTAAACGTAAAGAAATAAGAAGCAGGTACGATTAGACGATAACCTGATAAAGGTGTCGAGTGAAAGGTGAATAATAAAAACCGGTAGAATTTAGACGAAGATCAGTAGATTATCAATATTGATAGCAAGGTGTTGATATACTCGTTTATTACCTGAAAACTATCAACTTGTACCACTAAAGCTCTGTTTCGTTTATTACCACAAAACTGTCAGTTTGCACCACTAAATCCCTATGTACACAGTTACTCGTTTATCACCAGTAAACTATCCATTTCTTACAATTAAAAAGATCCTTAAAAGACTTGCGCTATGGTATCTGTGCCACATATACGTTACTAGTAGGGAAAAAGAACAGGATCCGGTGCATGTATAGCGTTACGACTCTCTTGTCAGTGTCATTATTTCTGTTAACTGTACCTTACTTGCCGTATGAAACGAAACGTGTACAGCCAAGCACACTCGGTCGTTTCCTGAATAATCATTTGTGTAGTCTGGCCTAGGTTACCAAAAACAAACTGAATTTGGTATGTCGTTTAAATGAAAATTCTTGGTGTATTTGTGGATATAGGGAATTCTAATGTAGCGAACTTTCCAGAAAGAGTAGGTCCTGAGGAACCTCTGTACCAAATTTGGTGCTTGTATCACCAAGTGAAAGATTCTTATGGAATATTGATTTAATCTGCCTCTAATGGCGGGTAAATCAAAGAGAAGCTCGACAAACCTACCCAGTTCCTCAAGCATGATATTCGAATGTGATATCAACCTAACCGGGACAATATCACAGTCATATTTCACGCCTGAGGAACTCAGATAAGAGCCAATAGGATAAGAATATGGAAGAGCATTGGGGCAAATTGAAAACATTTATAATCGAAAGTTAATTTTTCAAAAATGAGATAAAATAATATATACAATAATAACCGTTAAAATGAATACGGAAATGTATGACATTAGCCCAAACTGCTAAAATATCTATAAAAGGAGGGGTATGTAAACAGCACGTTTAGAACTAATGGTGTCCTCACACAATAACGATTACCAGTTACGTATGTTTGCGAATAATGGAAGTGACTATGATTTCCGAACGCAACTCACAACTCATTTGAATGAGAGTAGCGTAGGAATCTTCTGGCCGGTATACGTATTAGCAACCATACTCAACTGGTGATCGCTATAGTGCGAGGGCCACTTTAATAAAAATATATTTCCAACCAAAGGAAACATAATATATTCATTATAAAATTATCTTTGAGCACTATGTATAAAGACCAACAACAAAAGTATTCAGCATCATTCGTATCTGTATAAGAGAGTGTGTCTTGCACGGTTTACTTCATGCCAACTGTTTATCGTAAATGTTCGTCACTCTCCGACTAAACCTCGTTTAAATCCGCCTATGTGACATCACATTAAGATTAGCATAGGTAATCGTCGCTATTGCCTGCAACCAGTTATCTGCAAATATTCATAGCGATAGGATAACCCTTTCCGCAACTTTCTGCACTTTCCGTGAAGTAAAGTAAAATATACATCTATAATAAATGTAACGAATCATTGTCTTTAAGGGACGAACCAGGTAAAATCGAGAGTAAAAGTTGTATAGTTGTGTACTCCTCCAATGTGAAGTATAATCAGATGTTTCGGAAAGAGTAAGCATGGTCGCGCGCGACCTGATCCGCTTATATTCGTTGCTGTTGGAATATCGCCGAAGACAGAATGCATTTTGGAACATTCTGTTACTGTTTTCAGCCTCAAACCATCCAGTTTAATCCTTAACGCTTCAAATATATCGCTTATATTTGAAATGTTGTTCATAATAATTACCTCAGGTAAAATTCAACAGGTAAATGGGAATTTATAAAAATGATTAAATATTGCACATTTTACACAAAATATATCACAATCAAACAACAACTTTATACTCGTTAAGTTAAAACTCTTATTATCCCTATACCGGAACAGATTCCATTTAACGACCTTCCGATTAATGTCGTTTATTTTCGTAACAGTATTTTCGTAGCAGTCTAATCAACGTCAACAAATTGTCAAAAGGCGTAATTCGCTCATTTCCGCCTATTTACGGCTAAATTTCGTTAATACTCGTTCATTTCCTTCACGTAACATCAAACTGTTCATTTTCGTTACTTTGCGTTAAAACTCGAACATTTCCGTTCCTATATGATAATCTTTGGGGATTTCCTGTAAAAATGTGACTGACAACACGATTCAATTCTGCCTGTATGAATTTCGTTCATTTTCATCAGAGAAATCAAATTCACGCAAATTCTATCAACATCGACTTCGACAATGGTCGTCCCTATCCGGTTAACCTCGTTATTTTCCGGTTCCTCTTCGTTAGCAATGCCTAGTTCTGGAAGTTTTCATCTTACACATGATATACCATTGTTTTCATCGCTGAGTTTAAATGATACTCGCTTGCACAACCTACATTACACCAACAAACGCCAACATCTCATGTCACAGATCTATCGTTTAGTTCCGTAACATTCCGTTTGACCTCGTTAACGTACGATGATTTCCGTTATCATGAAAATAGTTCCGACGATTTCATATCGGTGTATTGGGAAAGAAAGGGGCAGAATATTGATAGTGCAGTGGACATTATCCCTAACATATAGCTCCATCCCACCACACATTGTCCAAAATAAAATGGCGCCGAATCTTCACCACAATAATGCCGGAAAAATGGCGAGTTTAGTCCGAGAGGATAGATCAGTAGACCGGCAGCCATTACCAAAACTGAAAGTAGAAAAATAATGATTTATTATCTATTTAACAGCCTCTTGAGATATTAAATGTACTTTAATATTACAATGTTCAGCACCATTTGGGAATTGACAGAGCTACGCCATGTTTTAGTCCGTAACGCTGAAGCATCATGGGGAAAAGGCATGTTAAAAGGTGTATTTCAAAGGGAAACTTTAATCAAACGCAGTTCTACCAGATCAGACGTAAAATAATTTAAGTGACTATATCCCTTTAAAATAAAGTGGAATGTTTGCCAGCTTTAAACAAAATAGAATTGTGAACTTTCTCTCCTGGTGAGTAACAGTATTGATAAGGGTTTTGATGATATTATAAAGTCAATTTTACTTATCCATTGATGTCATTAAAGAGAGTAATACCATACAAAACTACGAATGGTTCTTATATGGAAATAACACACACAAACGTAGCTCACAGCCATTTTGAATCTAGTCCTCGACTTAATAAGTCGAATTCTTAAAAAAGACTATAATATTTCAAGAAAGCCTTTAAAATACATTTAATGCCACATTTAAAACTTTAAATGTAATTGGAAAGCTAAGTTGGGATATTAGAGGCTTCCTCAAAATTCCACATATTAAGTCGAGAAAGAGATTCAAAATGGCTGCGAACTACGTTCGTGTGTCTTATTTCCATGAAAGAACCATACGTAATTTCATAAAAGAGTTAGCTTTATCTAATGAACTTCATTAGATGTCAGTCACATTTTGTTTCAAACAAAGTCCGATTTCAAAAACTTTTTCATTATGATTGTGATATAATTTTTCTAATGAATACCATGTAAATTTGTACGAACTGTGACTTTAACCAAATCGCTAACGATGAAGCAAAGTAATTACATGTCAGTAGGGGGTCCTGTTAAAACAGGTTTCACTGTAATTATATCTCTGTGGAATGTCCATTAACGCAGGTTTACCAGTAATTATCTTTAACATTTTCTGCGTTTTCAAACATTTTCACAGCATCAGCAAATTAAAAAGTCTTTAGGTTGAAATTGATTTCTTCTTTTAGAAAAAACGGTAACTTGAACTTGGTATTTGAGAAAAAAGTTAGTAGTGAAAATACTTCTATGTTTTTACAGTGGCTCGGTAATACGGCATTGTTAGCAGTTTTTTGATAAATTTGCTTTAATTTATACTGGAATGGGAATTTTTGGAACTTTTCGTGAGCCTGTTGATAAAGAATTTATATTGAAAGAAGTCATGGAATTCAAATGTCTGGGAAAAAAATCTGTTATTATCTGATTGGATTCAATAGTGTTTTATTTTCTACTTTTGGCATGATATGAAATTTTTGTATACAACCATACCTTGCAGATTGTATTCTGAATTGAAATTTTGATACAGAAAAAACGTTTTGTATTGGGGATGAGATATTTACCCGAGGCCCGTGTCCAACAGACTTGTGCTTTAAAGACCCCTCGGCATTTGTGATTCGAAAAAGATTTGGTTAATGGCCTGGCAAAATGTCCCAAGATATAACACACTACTTTGCGTTGCCCTTCTCTGTCAGTCCAATCAGCAGAAAAATAGGACGTTAAAGCTAAAATTTTATGAATTCATTAAAGGGAGTGTTAAGAGGTTTTCTAAACTTTCTATGTGTATCGGGGACAATGATAGCTTCAATATGAAACATTCCAATTTTCATTCTGTGGTTCATGCAATTCCACTAAAAATAACACTAGAGGGGAACTGCATAGATATCATTAGTAACTTCCGGTAGATCCCCTCTAGTGACGTAATAAAACGCGTTAGTTAGAATTTTAGAAAACTTTACAATCTCTTTAAGCTTACACTTAATGTTCAAAACGTATTGTATGAACCCGGCTTTAGGTTTAAATCCAGTAGCCAAACTATCAATAATGGCATTTGGCAAGGAACTGTTATTAATACCAGAGATATCTAGTAGTATATAATAGTGTTATTATGTTCTATATTATCTGCCAGGTCTTAATTACTCTTGATTAATGTCCTAATTAGACTCGCCATATATCTCATACATAATGATATAATGGACTTCCTATTACAACATAAATACCAATATAACATTTTAAATATAAGATATACCCGATATGAATGCTGAGTTGAGAAAACAAGCAGTGAGTGACATCAAAAGTTCGACAAGATATGAGCATGTGAAACAAAAGCAAGACTTGTAATAGCTATTTGTCAATTTTCAAGCGGTGAGTGGCATCAAAAGTTCGACAAGTTTGAGCACCTCTTACGAACACGTGAAACACAATTTAGACCTATAGTTATAATTCTTTCATAACAATATATAAACCAAAATAATATTATATAATATATATGGATTCAGGTGTACCAGAAGCAGAAGTGTACGCATGTCTTGTGTATAAGCATATGAAACAAAAAAACTGCTTGGTATCTGTACAGATAGTACAAAAAGCATAAGAATAAAGAGACCACCCATACACAGCACATCTTGAAGCCATAAAGCATGTCTTCAAAAACAGAAACGGGTGGTGTGCAGCACCGTCATATCCGGTTGGTATATGGTTTGTGGATGAATACAAGAGTTGCCAAAATCAAACTGGAAATCGAAATGGTGCCAACCAATAAAGGTTGGAGATCTAAGTGCCCCTGATACACTTACAAAGGCGATACAAAACTCTGGAATCATTTCAAGCACTTAACAATTCTTAAATCTGAAACTAAGGGCGTTTCACACTAACCAATATGTGATATCGATATAGATATTGTTTGAAATTCTAATAGGTAACATTATTACCTTTCTGATATCATTGTTGTTTTTATAGCGAAGTATACAGAAAGAGTTTGGCATGATACTAAACGAAAAAAGAGGGCAACATCGTACTTATTGGACATTCCAAAGCTTTGCTACCCTGAATAAATCATTTCATTTTCTTTCTTTCCATCAACCCCATAGTAATTGAATTATCTGAGGCGGGTTTTAATTGCTAACCGTCACTACCACACCTTGCGGAAATAAAAACAAATGCGCTTAAATGAGTCCTTCGCCTTGATTGTCCATGACGCAGACGACAAAAAAGTTAAAGGATGTAATTCTGAAAATCAAACGACTCCTGGTCGTGATCGTAATAAATTTCTAGATTTTTCTTACGTTTTATTGTGTGTTCCATTTTAATTTTGGAGGTGAAGATGGATTATTGTTTATTTGATTTGAACCATGTGAGGAAATATATCTTAGACCAAGAAAAGACATATTCATTTGTTTCGTTTCATTTTTAAAATAATTTTGATTCCATAATATTAACGTCAACAAAAATGCCGCCAAATTGACTACTTTCGTTTTGTAGGATGAAAATCTGCGATCCTTAAATTAAACGATACTCATTTTAGCGCTTTTGTTTTATTTCCGGTAAGGGCGGTAGAGCTGTGGGCATTCGAGACCCACCCAATTATCTGTGAAATCTAACCTCAATGGCGTGTTTTAGTTGAATTGAGGAACAATCGGTGAAATTTTAATTCTGAAAAGTAATACGGATACCTGAATAAAACTGCATTTTATCAGCCGGTAAACAACCTTATCCCTTCTAAATCTAAAAAGCTAGAACTTTAGCTTCTAATAACCAATAATTTCGTTTAACGTTTTGTCAAACTACTCTATTTTATTCTATTGTATATTTTGTTATTATTACCTGGTATTTTGATGAAATCAGGTAGATAATTGTTGTTTTATCTGGAAGATTTTGACGAATTGTAGAAATAGTAGATTCGTTTTTTAGAAAGATATGATTATCTTTAGTATTATTTTAGTATTTCCTAAACATTTTGACGAATTGCAGAAACAGTAATTCTGTTTTTTAGAAAGTTATGAATATCTTTGGTGTGTTTTGTATTATTTTGACGAATTGTAAAGATAACAATAATAATTGGTAGAATTGTTTCAGTATGTATATTGGATATTGAGAAGACACAATCGGTATTTAGTTACTAGGTGATGAATGGTGGTATTCTCAAAACGATAAAAATGTTATTCTATTTCTTTAACAGATGATCTTTATCAATCTTAATTTAGGGAATGGAGTTTTACATCTAACTTCTCTTTACTAGATTCTTCTGTTCTAATAACTAAAAGATTTAATTCCATGAAGTTTTACTTCCTACTGAATTTTAACTGTTTTATTTCAGTATAGTTTCTTATTTCGTATCTTTTAAATCTAAGTTAAAGTATCGAATAGAGTTTTATTTTTATTGATGATACTAATTTCATTGATTCCAAAATTAAGTTAAAATTGAAGATTAAATAAAATGGAGTTTACGCCTTACTTTCTTTTAAGAAAAATGATACCAACCTGCGACAGCCTGTAAATATCCCGACAGCAGTGAGAATTTTTTATGATGAGTTTTAACCATTCCTATTGTACATAATGCTAAAAATGCTGATAAGCACATTAATATGCATCCCACACCGTACAGTACACAGGCGGCTTGCCACGCCCCGGAAGGGATATTACCCACGTGATAATACCCGCCATAGGCTGTACATATTTCTCGTTTATTTTCAAACAATGAATCCAAATAACAGTAGCTCACCATTCCAAACGCATGAACGCAATCTACATGTTGTATCCAGAACGGTTGCAGAAATGTAAACGTACAAGCACCTGCTACCATAACGGACAGTAACGTCCACAGTAGTAAAATTGGCGGCAACATTTTCCCGCGCTGTAATTTTTTTACGTCAACCAGAAGACACGTGAAATCTAACTCACAACATTAACCAAAACTGTAAAACAATACACAGAAATCATTAAGCGTATCTATAATACACGCGCATATTACAACTTGAACTATTAAACTCCTTTGACTTAAATAAAAAATAGCACACTTTTATATCCACTTGTTAAGCTTGATTCACCACAAAATTTCAAGTATCTACATCCACAACTTTCTACTATGCGGTCTGGTGCCAGTAGTCCGAAACTTGGTCCGGTGCCGTCGTGAGTCGGTCCGGTGTCGGCTCAAACCCCTCTATTGGAATTACTCAATCCATGTATCACACTGGAATCACACTATCATCATTATTTACATGGATAGCACAATAATTCCTTGTTATCAGATGGTTTATTCATAGGGATTACAGTGGTTTGAATTATTCACATTACTCGATTGCAGACCCGAGAGGGTATACTTAATGGTATTCCATGATCTTCTAATTGAAATTTCCAGATTTATCAAATAGATAATAACCGATAGCAGAATCCGGAAAGTTTACTCAATGAAAATTACTTGGTTCTATTGATTAACGACGGAGTAACTTATTGTAATAGATTAAGCACGTTTTCCAAAATATCCCAATCCACTTAAGGCCAATATCTAACTACACACTCAAACCTGCATTCAGAGATATTCCTTTAAAGAACCACTGCTGTTAGTCGATTCTCTACCTTATTGTGGGATAAATTGTTGGCAAATATTTGACTTCTCAACAGAAAACAGTTTCTCGTCGATTGAATCGAACACAGCACAACAATTCGAAAGCGTCAAGTCGTTGTAGGTCCCTCTATCGGTGTACAAAAAACTTTTACTTTCGAGACTGCTGCATCTAATAGTATGAACAATTTCCTCAAACTTCCACAGAGAAATTAATAATATCACATTTCTTTATCATCTTTCGAAACCGTTACCTTTGAACATCTAGAACACTTTCTGAAGTTTTGAAAAGAAAATAAGTTTTGTCACATTAGCGAAGTAATTTTTTTGAGGGAGTTACCTTTTTATATTTTCGTTCCTTCTGATTTTTCAGTAATTTCATTTCGAAGTGATGGGCAGAAAAACGCCTTACAAACTATTATTACATGTCATAAGCCTATTATATACTCAAAATATTCCAACGTCTTTGACTTATTCGTTAGTTGTAAATGTCGTTTCAACGAACACTTGGTTTCCCTGGAGGACACAAAGTCATTAGAGTTTAACTAAATCAGCAGCGACCCTTTTTCTCAATGCAATGATTGTTTTCGTTGCATTGACTGCATCCAAATATAGCTAATTTCCCTTGGGATAGCTAAACTAATAACACTGCAAGTTATAGATGTATTTTTAATACTGATCTGTTCTCTTTTTTTGTATGACTATCGTTACCATCGTTGGTCGTCGACATAATCCAAATAATGTCCTGGTTGCACTGAATACTGATAATAAAAATCCACGGTAACGATTTGGAATCAGAAGAATAGATTCTCATTGCATTTAAATGGCTCTTAATTTCCAAGAAGGCTTTGTAGTTGTATTCCCTGAACACAAACAATCACCAGTTTAAATAGAAAATCACAGTCGCACTATAACAATTGTATTGATATCTGAATTTGCTTATGTTAGGTTTGAAATAAATCGGGTCTAGACGCACAAGGTGATTACACTCTTATCCTATTCATAAAAGAGTTTTCCAATCTGTAAAATCATCACGCACAATTGGTAGATTTTTTTTATCGAAGACTTGTGTACCTGCTTTCGTTAGTAAAACTGAACACTTAGTCTCGAAACACAATCTCAATTTTATCTTATTAGAAATTGGCTAGCTTTCTTCACTATAGTTATTTTCCCTCACTTCATACTCCTCTATTTTTGATATTTCACAATATTTACTTGTCCCCGGTCTGTGCTTTCGTTTATTAAAACTGAATACTGTCGTTTCAGAACACAAACTAAATTCTTTCTCAGTCAAAGAAGAAATGATCTGTCCTAGCAGTATGCTATTCCGAAAATGCACGATATCGTCCCGTCCTCGGTTTGTGTTTGCATTTCTTCCTATGATCACTAGCCTAAACACAACTTCATCCTCTATTCAAACAGAAATTGGCTGGCTTCTCATGTAAATTAAATTCACACGGTGTATACACGTACTTCGCTATTTCACGATAGTTTCTCCTCCTCGGTTTGTGCTTTCGATCATCAAAACTAAACTCTAGTCTTAAAACACCATCTCATTCAACGAAAAATTGGCCTGCTTCCCATACTATAGTTTATTTCCTCGCAGTAAACCTCCAGTAGTAAAGTCATGCTTTATGTCGAATCGATGGTTCACAATATTCTGTCAGTTGGTGGAATTCCGGAGGAAATCGTCGAATTAATCCACAAGGACCAAACCGCTGTAGTTTATATCAATAGTTTTATACTTCCTCATCTCAAACTGTTTTACTGACAAATAAAAATCATATCCAACATTTCCATTCATTTGAATAGTCTTTAACAACATATTGGTCGACACTAAAAACTACACCACGAAACCAATTTTATGGTTCAGACCATTCGTCATCTTAATAAGACGTTTACACGAAACTCAGTCTATATAATATTAGTATAATTAGTCTATATTAGTGCTATATCGTCTTATGATTTAGGTAGATAGCTGGTGTTATAGTTTCAAATCCTTTCAATCATGATAATAATCAATTGTATTTTAGTCTAATCAAATTAAATCCGCATTAGTCAAATTAGGTTAAACAAATCTCCCCCTTTCAATTCTTACCAACGCTACGCGAATTGGAAAATCTTCCTCGTGGTACCATAACTTTTATTTGCAAAAACAAGCACTGAAGTTCGACCCTCCCCCCATCTCCCTTCAATTTTCCCCTACACCTCGCCTAGTTATATATGGAAGTAGTTTTATTGATGAGATGTATAATTTACAATGACACTAAACTATTTTACCAGAGTTCCCGAAATTCTATAAGAACATAGTTGGAGAGATTTTAATTCACTTTTCATGAAGTAGAAAAGATGATTTATATTCTCGTTCTTCTGTGGTTCATCGAGTCTTTTCAAGTTCCGAAAATAAGTGGCATCCGCTAATATCATTATCTCGTCGTCAGTTTCTACTCAAATTCACAAAAAAATCATAGTAAGTGTAAAAAAAACTGATTCATAGTACTTGAGTTCTGAAGGAATTGCCAAGACTAAAGCCGCGTGTACATCGATACGAATTGTGAATTACAGTTTAGGTTAGTCCGAAACATCTGCCTCTATTCCAGCCTCTGATGGATATTTTGACAGTTGTCTGCTAGAGTAGTGTCAGAAAAATAGGCCCTGTTAAATGGGGATTTTTCACACCTCCGAAGATGCGTTTTTTCCAACATATTGTTAAATTACCTTTCTTAGTATCACGTGACACCGTGACCTTTAAACTTTTGGCTGGCCGATATGAGTCAAGTTTCGATAAACAAAACTTTGGTGGGACCCGGGACGTGACATAAATGGTGTTAGGCGAAAATGATGGTATGACTGAATTACACAAATATATTTATCTTTCCAAATATACCTGGGTTTGGTAGATCCGAGGTTTCTAAATATGTTTAAAAATCTCGAACCTATGGAAAGTAACACCAGCCGACATCTGTCCAAATAGCTATTAGAGTCTGGGATAGAGACAGATGTTTCGGTTACGATGGGAATAGACGAGGTACGGTACAGCGTAGTCCGAAACATCTGCCTCTAATCCAGCCTCAGATGGATATTTGATATTGGACCAGCAAGACATCTGTCCAAATAGCTATTAGAGTCTGGGATAGAGACAGATGTTTCGGTTACGATGGGAATAGACGAGGTACGGTACAGCGTAGTCCGAAACATCTGCCTCTAATCCAGCCTCAGATGGATATTTGATATTGGACCAGCAAGACATCTGTCCAAATAACTATTAGAGTCTGGGATAGAGACAGATGTTTCGGTTACGATGGGAATAGACGAGGTACGGTACAGCGTAGTCCGAAACATCTGCCTCTAATCCAGCCTCAGATGGATATTTGATATTGGACCAGCAAGACATCTGTCCAAATAGCTATTAGAGTCTGGGATAGAGACAGATGTTTCGGTTACGATGGGAATAGACGAGGTACGGTACAGCGTAGTCCGAAACATCTGCCTCTAATCCAGCCTCAGATGGATATTTGATAATGGACCAGCAAGACATCTGTCCAAATAACTATTAGAGCCAGGAATAGTGACAGATGTTTAGTTCTAGGTCCAGCACTGCGTAAGGTGTAGGATAGGCAATACGAAAGAAAATAGAAGCCTATATTATAGTCTTGGTTGGCAAGCAGCAACTTACGATGTTTGGGTAAATCTCAATTCAAGAATATGCTGTCAGAACGTAATTAGCAGAAAAAACCCCACGAAAGGAAACATCCAGTGATATATTACAAGAAGTGTATACAAAGTTTAAAAACAACATTGCCAGTAATCGTAGAAATTCTGTCATATTGGATTATTTGAGTACAATAGTCATTTTTCGACCTTTTTTAGATTGCGTATATATAGCCCTATCAGTTCTATATCTTGTCAGTTTTTACCGTACTGTTTGGGAATGCAATACTTCCTCGTATGAATGGTTTATGTGCTGCTACCAATATATTGCCAAACTGTTATTATTGATTTCGTGTTTCTTTTTGTTGTTCAGATCGTTATGACTTGTGAAGTTTATGTATAGCCTTGCCAGTATTCATATAAAATTTTTTATTATAAAAGCACATATTTATTACACAAGTATCTATATATAATGAGTATTAAAATTCACCAGTTTTTAGCTAACATTGCATATATTTATCACAGTACCTTAACAACGTGAATTTAATATTTAAAAACCAAATTCTCAACCATTATGCGGTTTAAAACAGTTCTAGATTATATCTAATTGATGTAGAATACATATAATAATCATCTTAACACGTGTTTATACTATAAAATAACACGTAAA